TTAAACTTGTGATCCTCCTGCCTCAGCCTCCCAAGCCTAGCTGACAGGGCTTTTTTTGTGGGAGAAAACTCTTCAATGTGTCCTTTAAGTATATAAAATAAAGGCAGAGTCTGACCAGACAGTTCTCCATTTCCAAACACAATGAAGAGAAATGGAGTTTTCCTTGAGCAAAGGATATATCCTGACTGAGGCACCCTGAGAAGAGATCATTTTAGCAACAGTCTTCTCTTATATGGAATACTGCTTGTCCCCTACTCTAAACTTTAATTCCCTTTCTTGAGTGGCCTACCCATTGAATCTGAGGTAACCTGCTAGCCCACTGTCAGCTTGTCAGGGAAGAAAGGTACTGAGAAATGAGAAGAAAGAGGTGATATTGTCCAGGAAAATGGTGGTACTTCCTGGGTCAGGGCCAGGACCTTGGACTTCCTGCAGCTGTAGAAAAATAAGGGCCCGAGTTACTTGACTGTCAAAAGTAAAAGTGATTTTCAAAGACTGAGAGATTTGTGGGCTTCCCTTTCACCATATAGAGCCATGTTCTCTCTTCATGGTGCCTGCATATTTTCAACTGTGTTGAATGATGAAATTCCCACCCTCTACCAACAGCAGTTCCACTACTTACTACTTCTTCAAAGTTCCTCGTTTTCTCACCTTCTTCTCCATCTTCCTCTCTTGTTCATTCCCTCCCAATCTTTTTTTTAAGTTACATTCATCAACATTTTTCTTTCCATCTGTTTTTTCTTCTTTTTTACTCTACCATCTTGTTCTCTTGTTTACAATCTACTCCTCTGTCATATTTTCAGATAGGTTCTTACTTTTCTTCTTTTCTTTGCAACAACTTTTTATCTCATTTATTCAGCCCTGAAGAGGGTGAAAGCAGATGGCCTGCTGCCTCAATATCTGGTCAACAGAAACATACTTGCTAGAGAATGTTTATCCAAAATATTTTCTTTAGCTGGGCATGGCGGTGCATGCCTGTAATCCCAGCAGCTCTGGAGGCTGAGGCAGGAGGATTATGAGTTCAAAGCCAGCCTCAGCAATTTGTCAAGACCCTAAGCAACTCAGCAAGACCATGTCTCAAAATAAAATACAAAAAAAGGGCTGGGGATGTGGCCCAGTGGTTTAAGTGCTCTTGGGCTCAATCTGTGGTTACCACTCGACCCGCATCACCCAAAAAAAAAAAAAAAAAATAAATATATATATATATATATATATATACACACACACACACACTCACTTGTATGCACACACATAAAATCTTTAGCTAGGTGCTGTGGTGCACACCTATAATCCCAGCTACTTGGGAGGCTGAGGCACCAGGATCTCAATTTCAAGGCCAGTCAGGGTTACCTGGGTAAGACCCTGTTCCAAAATAAAAATAAAAAGGGCTGAGGACATAGCTCAGTGGTATTATTACTGAAAGCTCAGTCCTTGTCCCTGATGCCAATTCAATAATAAGGACACGATTTTGAGAAAAAAGAAAAATAAGTTTAATTGCTTTGTTGGCAAAGGAGAAACACAGGGGTTCCTGTTCCAGAGACTGTGATTCTGCCCATCAAGAAGAACAGGGGGCTTTTAAAGAGGCGATTCCAAGGCTACATTCCACATGCTCTCTGTTGGAGTTGTAATTCACTTGTTAATTTGTGAGGGAGTCATTTCTGAGACCTTCTGGTGCCATCCCCAAAGTTTGAATTACTTCATTCCTGTGATGGGTGTGTGCTCAAGAACAGATAACTCTATTTAGGATGGGGAAGAAAGATAACCCTGTTTCCCCTGAAATTTGGGAGGGGGAGAGATCAGGGAGAGAGGAGGAGAAAGAAACAGGACCATTTTAAAAACAAGTTGCGGGTGGCAGAGCAGCAAGGGCTATATTCAAAGCATAAAGTGGACCTTTGTTACAGTGGAGCGTCCCTAGGTTCAGTCTCTAGTACTGCAAAACAAAACAACAACAGTAAAAACAACCCACAAAATATTGTCTTCCATCTCAACTTTTAGGAATTGTAGATTTCACATAACAATTCAGAATTCCAGCTTCAAAACAAAACAAAACAACTAACTGGCAGCACAGGGCCCTCATTCACCATTGGTTGTCAGTGGAGCAGGGCAGTGGCTGCCCACCCTGGCTCACAGGAGTCCACACCTCTGGCCTCCCTAATTACCATTTATCATTTAGCTTAGCTTTTTTTTTTTTTTTCCCTGTAGAAGACAAATTTTATTTAGTAATAAAAAGAGACAGCAAGAGCTTGATTTTTCTTACTCCCACACAGTTACCGTATTTACAGTTCCTGCCTTGCTTCTGCAGGTGGGGGAGTTTACAACCTTGCTATACACCGCCTAGGGTCTCTCACCCATTTCTCCTCCCGTACCCCCCCCCCCAATTTCTCCATATATCCTTGTTCCACCTTTTGTTCATGTGAAGTTAGTATTTAATACATTGCTGTAAGGTTAAATAACTTCAGGACCAGTTCTAAAATTCTGAACTTATTCAAACTAGCCAGTCCCAAAACTGCAATCCTAAAACTTCAATCTTCAGAAAAATATGAAAAATCAGTTTTTTTTTTTTTTTTTGCAACAGTGATGTACCTGAGCTCCAATGATAGTAGTTACTCTCTTAAGAATCAATTCCTTGGGCTGGGGATGTGGCTCAAGCGGTAGCGCGCTAGCCTGGCATGTGTGCGGCCCGGGTTCGATCCTCAGCACCACATACAAACAAAGATGTTGTGTCCGCCGAAAACTAAAAAATAAATATTAAAATTCTCTCTCTCTCTTAAAAAACAGTATTTTCACTCACTCTATTAAAAAAAAAAAAAGAATCAATTTCTTGGGCTGGGAATGTAGCTCAGTAGTAGAGTGCTTGAGTAGCAGCAAGTGGGAGGCCCTGAGTTCAGTTCTCAGCACCAAGAAAGAAAGAAAAAAGAAAATCCTTGCTTTGCACTTTGTTTCGTATGACCAATAATTAATTTATATGGGCGAGAGCTGAGAAATGGTTACTAGGCCATGCGGAGGAAGAATCAACAGGGGAGACAGCATCTACCTATTAGTAATAGAAACATGAAAAACATGGCATTAAAAAAATAAAAATACTAGGAGTTTAATTTTTCTGCATTTAAAATAAATCTATAGGTGAGAACAGGTGTTCTAGTATACCACAATATTTTTGGCAAGAATCCAGAGTAATTAACCATGTTTGCTAGATCTATATCATGAATCTTTGAAACCTTGGGACCTTACTGACTGTGCATCCTAGGACTAGGGAATTACTAGAAGTAAATAATTCACCTGTCATATGAAAATTGACCAATCTGGGACTCAGCCCTATGTTTCCGAGTCTGCTGAAATTATTCAAACTAGCCAATCCTAAAGCTGCTTGCTCTCTCTGCCTCACTAGTTCCTGCCAGTGGAAACTGCAATAAGGGTTCTGGTTCACATTTCCCCTTCATTCTCTGCCCTCTAACTGACCCAGGTACTTCCTCCTACAGCCCCCTCCTGTTTCTAGAAAACTGCGTAAATGTCTTCCTTCCCGACAGTCATCTTCTTATTTGTGTCTGCATGTCTCATAGTTGATTAAAATGAATCCTGGCTACTTTACAACTCTGGGCTCCCTCCACCCTTCTAAACCACTACTCTTGGGGCTGATTCTATCTTTTTTTTTGTACTGGGGATTGAACCCAGAAACGTTTAACCACTGAATCATATCCTCGGCTGTTTTTATTTTTTATTTTGAGACAGGGTCTTGCTAAGTTACTTAGGGTCTTGCTAAATTGCTGAGGCTGGCCTCAAACTTTCTATCCTCCTTCCTCAGTCTTCCTAGTTGCTGGGATTACAGGTGTGCATCACCTGGCTGACTCAAGAATCCCATTTCTTGCCAGGCAGTGGCACACATACACACAAATTAAACATAGAATTTTGCTAATTCAAATAAAATTAGGGTTCAATTAGAAGAAGGAATGGAAGAATAGATATTGGATCTCTGCAAGTTGGCTCTTCCCTACCTCGAGAAGGCTTACAGCTTTAGAATTATACAGAGCTCTTTATATTGGCCCTTGGCTTTCTTCTCTGTTTATTTATGGGAGTAACATGAGCTTCTTTAAACTTTACCAAACTCTGATTATTTGATTTCATGTTTGCTGTCTATTTGTTGGGTTTCCAAGATATAATTACATTTAATTTTAGGAATTGTGAGTAGTAAGAACCTCCCTAACCTGACAATTGTCCTATTTTTAGATGTAATTTAAGTTCTATCCCAAATACTCCTGATTTTGTGCACGTGTGTGTGTGTGTGTGTGTGTGTACACAGGAACTTGTGTCCACCACATCACAACAAGGGCCAAAGAGAGAAGGAAGAATCTCCATCCTCTTCTTCCTTTTTTCCAAGGCTATGTCCCTAGCTGGTCATGCACTCCAACAGATAACCCAGGTCACAAGCAAAGTTGAGCATCTTGTGTCCTGCCCATGAACTCCAGCAAAAGCAGTGGATGGGGCTGTGCTGGGCTCCCTTGGTCTCACACTAGGATGTAAAGCAAAGGATACTGCCCAGAGGAAGGGGCCCCTCTTTCTAACTTGCACAAAACTTTGTTGCGAAACTTGTACGCCTGTGAGCTGCCTATGCCCAGAGGAAGTGCCTTTCCTACTCTATCCACCCTGATTTTTTTTTTTTGGGGGGGGGTAATGGAAATTGAACTCAGTTGTGCTTAACCACTGAGCCACATGCTCAGTCTTTTTTAAAAATTATTTATTTATTCTAAGACATGCTCAGCCTTTTTAATTAATTTATTGATTTCTAAAATTTTGAGACAGGGTTCGCTAAGTTACTTAGGGTGCTGAGGCTGGCCTCAAACTTGCTATCATCCTGTTTTAGCTTCCTGAGTCACTGGGATTACCACAATACCTGATAGGTTTTTTTTTTTTTTTTTTAATGCACACAAAGGTTCTCAGTAGACTGCTCACAGCTATCTGTCCTGCACAGTGATCAGTAGTGAATTCCTCCACTTGTCCTGAGAGCCACTGACCTTCCAGTCACCACTGAGACTCCTCTTTTGCTTTTTTCTTTCTTCCATCCAATTTCAGACTACTGAATGAAAGTAAGCTGAAAGCAGACACCTTCTATTCTTCAGTTCAGACCCACCCCTTCTGTTAGGATGCCGTTTCCCTGGACCTGCTGCCAAGGGATGGAACCCACCTCACCTGGAATAGATCCTGAACTCCCCTATGGAACCTTCTGGAATATCCCAGTTCACTGCTCATTTACAAATTGCCTCTGCAGATGTCTGACCTCTGGCTTCCTCATTTTAGAAAGTAGCGTTTTCTTGTGATAGAAGAGATGTTTCTGGAAGAGGGAATGCACATTCCCCCTACTCCAGGAATTCCTCAGGACCTGTGGGGGTCCTTGACATACTTGATGGAAAAGAATTTCAACAGTGGACGCTTAGAGATTTATTTAGGAAAGCAAGGAATATATATTCGAGGGAGAATATGAACTATCTTGAGAGTGAAAGATGAATTTTGGGGGGATTCCGACTCTTTTAAAGAAAACTTGGTAGGTATGGGAAGACATGTAAAGATGACATCAGGTTGGTTCTTAGGTTAACATGGTCCTTATTATCTGATCAATGGAGAACACTGGAAAGTCCCCTAAATTACAGATTTCTTAAAATATTGCATTTCTCTTTGCTTCATCTATTGACTGGTGGCCTAATTAACAATGAAGAACATCATTGTTGTAAGTGAGTGAATTTACAGTAACACTAAGATTTACAAATTTTCCAGAGTTACAGGAGCAGCAGACCTGGGAGGGAGACTGGCTTGGGGAGTGACAGTCCTGAAAAAGTATGTAGAACTTTAAATTAAAATTAGATTTCCTTGTCCTTCTTTTATGTCTCCCTCTCACCTTTTTGTTTGTTTGCCTTTAATTTATCTTGCTTTATTTTAATGCAGACACCAAATTGGGAAGAGCTATTTGTGGAGCCCCATGTGAATAGTTCACACCTCTGGGTTCAATCCCAGCATCCTGAAAGGCTGTGGCAGGAGGGTCACAAATTCCAGGGGATCCTGGATAATTTAGTGAGACCATGTCTCAAAATAAAATTTAAGGTGGGTGTAGTGGTGCATGCCTGTAATCCCAGCTTCAGCCATGTGGAGAAGCCCTAAGCAACTGAGCAAGACCCTGTCTCAAAATAAAAAATAAAAAGGGCTGGGGATGAGGCTCAGTGGTTAAGTGCCCCTAATTTCAATCTCTGATATGGAAGGAAGGAAGGAAGGAAGGAAGGAAGGAAGGAAGGAAGGAAGGAAGGAAGGAAGGAAGGAAACAGGGGCAGCGCTGGAGCAGAACAGAGTGAACGTAATGTAAGCTATGGATTCTGGGTAATAATGATGTCAGTGTAGGTCCATCAATTGTAACAAATACATTACTCTGGTGGGGGAAGGCTATGCGTGTGGTGGGGGCAGGAATACATGGGATATCTCTGTGCCTCCTATTTGGCTAGGAACCTAATACTGCTGTACAATAATAAGCTCCTAAGAAAAAGAGGGAGATGTTGAGATAGCTCAGTGGAAGAGCTCTTGCTAGCATGTGGGAGGCCTTGATTCTATCCCTAACACCACAACACACACACACACACACACACACACTTTAGAAAGGAAATACCTTTAGGTAAAGAAGACCAAGGAATTGAGCCCTGCCTTCTGTACACCTGCCTGGAGAGTCATCAGAGCCCCCAGAGGCCCCTCCAGGGGATGTCCAAGGGTTACTGAACATGGTTTGCAAAAGTGGTGGGCAGCAGAAAGAACCCAGACTTGGAACCGGGGGAATGTTTGGAGTCCAAGCCAAGAGAAACAACCCATTCTCTCCTGTCAGCCTCATGCTGACGCCCACAGAAACAGGACAAGCCACTGCAAGCCACTGCAGGTGGCTTACTAGATTACTCTAGTATCGCCTCCTCATTCCTCTGAATGTCCTGTTTCAGCAGCTCCTGTGTCTTCTCTTTTGGCTGCACATCTTGATAAACTCTGCCAGACATAACTGATGGCCTCAGACTCATCATCTTTTTCTCCCTCCAGATCTCAATTTTGTCTGTGGTGTCATTGTGCCTACTTAGAAATAATTTCCCAGAGTCCCCTGCATCCGGAAGTGGCCACATGACTATTTGGCTAATGAGTCTGCTTGGTAGAGCTTTCAGGGAGACAACTGCTTTCCTGGTTAAGAAATAGAAGAAAAAAAGCCAGGTGTGGTGTGGTGGTGCATGTCTGTAATGACAGCAGCTGGGAAGGCTGAGACAGGAGGATGGCAAGTTCAAAGCCAGGCTGAGCAACATCGATGCGCTAAGCAACTCAGTGAGACCCTGTCTCTAATAAAATACAAAGTTGGGCTGGGGTTGTGGCTCAGTGGTTGAGTGCCCCTGAGTTCAATCCCTAGTACCCCCCCCCCCAAAAAAAAATAGAAGAAAAAGAAAGAAAGAAAACAAAGAAATAGATTCATCTGGAACGCATCTTTTGTTTTCCCTCCTCCTTTTTGCCTGGAATGAGAGGCCTGAAGGTGTAGAATATAGTTGTGAAGATGTCAAGCAAGAGCCTGGATCCTTGGTGACTCTTCCTTTTTTTGGGAGGGGTACAGGGGATTGAACTCAGGGGCATTTAATCACTGAGGCACATCCCCAGACCTATTTTGTATTTTATTTAGAGACAGGGTCTCACTGAGTTGCTCAGCGCCTGGCTGTTGCTGAGGATGGCTTTGAACTCGTGATCCTCCTGTCTCAGCCCCCTGAGCTGCTGGGACTTGGTGACTCTTTTAAGCAGCTCTATCAGCCCTGGCCTGCCTACCCTAGTCTTCATGATACATGAAACATTTAAATGCCTTTTTGGTTACATTGTTGTATTGGGTTTTTGTTACTCAGAAGCTAAATATAAGGTTATAAGGTTAAGTAGCACAACTTTTCTCCATGTAGCTGGGTCAACAGAGTCTGATCTGCGCTCGGTCTTCAAGCTGCTTCCCCAGATTGCTTCCCAGACACAAAATCCATACATATATGCAAAAGATGCCCATGTTAGTCCCAGGTCTCTTCTCCTCACATAGGAGAATAGGACAAAGCATCTTTGAGTTCCAGTTTCCTTTTCTGTAAAATGGGAATTTTTTTTGCATAATGTGTAAAAAACCCTAAACCCATTAGCAGTTCTATTACCAGAATCCCTATTTCTCTTCAGTCCCCTCCTCTTCTCCAGTATTGGGGATTGAACCCAGCGCCTTGCCCATGCTAGAGTAGTTACTCTCTCCCTGAGCTACATCCCTAACCCCTTTAAAAAAAAAATATTTTAAAACAGGATCTTGATAAATCGCCCAGGCTGGCCTTAAATTTTCAATCCTCCTGCCTCATTCACCCAAGCTATGATTACAGGTTTGTGCTACCACTGCACCTGATTCCTCATTATTTTTAGGGTCTTCCCAAAGCAAATTGGAAAGCTCTGCATCTCATCTTGCCTTGAGAGGATGTCAGGCCCAGAATATCTTTGTCCTTGATCTTTATATCCTTAATTTAAGAAAAAGGACTAAGCAGGGCATGGAGGGAGATACCAAGTTTGAGACCAGCCTGGGGGAATTCAGCCAGAATTTTTTCTCAAAAGAAAAAATAAAAAGGGGCTGGGGATATAGTTGAATGGTAGAGTGCCCCTGGACTGGAGTGTTCTTACTTAGAACTAGGATAGCTGGGAAGAACCCAGTTGAGCAACATTAGAGACAGCATTCTGCCCAACCAGAAGAGTCAGATGAACAGCCCAGCAATCTCTTTCCAGGTGGACACTGTCCTCCTTGGGGAGCTAGATGGAGGTGGGGTCAAGGAACTATCAACACCATCCTGCTCATCCTGCCCATGATGATGGAAAAGGAAAGTCCAAGAAGAAGTTGGGTCTGAGCTGGAGTCTGCAAAAGGGTAAGGGAACAGTCATTTGGCCTTTTCTACTCACTTCCTTAGAACAATATTATTTTAGTAATCTCTCCTTTGACCTTGCCCCTTTCTAACCTCCCAGGGTATTTCCATAGTTCCAGACTTTGGCCTTGGCTCTGAGAAAACTTCCCTATTATTGGTCTTTGTTTATTCTGTCATTTTCTGAAGATATTCTTTTGGTAGTTTTTTGCCTAATGTCATTCCTTCCTCTTGATTCCTTGTGTGTCATAATTCTTTTTTTAATTAATTTTTTTATTTAAAAAAATCTTGAGATACGGTCTTGCTAAATTACTTGAATTTGAAATCCTCCTGCCTCAGCCTCCTCAGTTGCTGGGATTATAGAAGTATACCACTGCAGGATGTTTGCTGCTTATTTCTATCTGGTGCTCACTCCTTGGAATCTGATCTTTCTCAGAAGGCTTTATGAAGTCAACTTTGATGGTGACATTTTCCTACTCTGGAACTCATACCATAGCACAAGTTGCTATGGTTTTTGTGACCACTGGGAAACTGGCATGTGCTTGCATTAAGACTCAGTCCTTGCCCAAGTCTTTAGATTCCTTAAAGCAGGGACTACCCTGTACTCAGCCCTGCCCTTGACACATTGTACTTGCTCACTAATTATTCACTGAATTCAGCTGGAATTCCAATTTAGGAAGATATGTATGTGTGTGTGTGTTTGTGAAAGAGATATATAATCTCAAACACACAATAATGTATAAGGAACACACAATACTTTTAAATAAAGTGGAGGTAATTCTCCTTGAGAAATTCCTTTCTTGAGACTGGGGTTGTGGCTCAGTGGTGGAATGCTCGCCTAGCATGTTCGAGGTCCTGGGTTTGATCCTTAGCACCACATAAAAATAAATAAAATAAAAATATTGTGTTCAACTACAACTAAAAAAATAAATATTAAAAAAAAAGAAATGCCTTTCTTATACCTATTCTGCCACACAGGTATAGGCTTGGGAACAAAAAGTATGGCTAAAACCCATTTGCTGAAAGAACTCTTTTCTTCAGAAGAAATATAAGCAATACTATCACCTTTCATCACCTATAATAATAAGGAAATTCTGAATAACTATTTCCTGGGGACTCGCTGAGTCAGAGGTTCATACCTGATTAGGCAGGTAGAGGGTGTAACCGGTGATGACTCTTCTTTCAGGCTCGAACCCAGCATCGGCTATTTACACATTAGTGATGCAAGTCTCCATATGCAGAGTCCTTGATATTGTTCAAAATGTTTTCAAACACAAGCCCAAATGGGAGTGGGCCAGGTTTGCTGTCTTCAAGAGAAGCTCAACAGAATAGGTTCATGAAGAGGATCCCTCAATTCTCACACTTGAAAAGAGTTGGCTTTCTTCAGAGTGAGAACACAGTGAGAAGAAGTAGAACTTCACTCTTCCAATGGCCTCAGCATGGAGATGTCCAGCAGCTAACTGGATATGAGACTCAGATTAGGAAAGAGGGTGGGCTGGAGAATAGGTTTCAGAATCATTGCATATAAATGGGAATTAAACATTGACAGTGGTGAGATCACCCTGAGAGGGTGTGGAGGAAGACATGACCCCTGAAGGAACCAGTAAGGCATGGCTGAGGAGGTTAAGAAGAGGTTGGAGAGGAAGACAAAGGAAGCTATAGGAGTCAAGATTTCAGAGAGAGAGAGAGAGAGAGAGAAGTCCTGATGGATGCAGTTTCTCCTGTACAATAAAAATCACAAAGTGCCCATTGGATTTGGAGTGGGGCAAAGAATAAAAGTAGAGACAGAAGGTGGAGTTTAATGGTGCCAGGGAAAAATGAGAAGTAAGGAGAACATGGTGGTCACGAAGATACACTGCTTAGATCCTTCTCAAGGATTGAGAATGTTGCCCAGCTGTGGAGATAGCAGTCAGCAGACAGCCTCCAGCCACTAGCTCCTTCAGGTCCTCTGCTGCAAAGGTGTCTGGCCCTCCTCACACACTCTACCCGGGCAGCCCCATGTGGGGCCTAAGCAAGGCCAGGTGCTTGGCTCTTTTGGCCCATTTGGGTTTGTTCTGATGGGTGATACTCCTCAAAGTTCTCTTAAGAGTAATGGAAGATGTGGCTGGGCCTGCTGCTCGATTTAACTTCTCCCTCTGCCTGGTCCTTCTTCCTTGTCATGACTTCCAAGGTGTTGATTTCTAATCAGCATCTTGTATCCCCAACTCACAGTCTGCCTCCAGAACCCAGTCTCTGACAGAGAATGGTGGAAACAAGTCTTTTCAAGAGTTTGATTCAGCTGGGTGCAGTGGCACATGCCTGTTATCCCAGGGGAAGCAAAGACAGGAGGATTGCAATTTCAAGGCCAGTCTCAGCAACTTAATGAGGTCCTAAGCAATTTACAGGCTCAAAATAAAACAAATTTTTAAAAAGGACTGGGGATATGGCTCAGTGGTAAAGTGTCCCTGGCTTCAATCCTCAGTACCCTTCCTTCCAAAAAGAGTTGATTCAGAAGTGGGTGTGGGAAAGAGAGTCATTAAAAAAAAAGAGTAGGAAGGGCCATTACAGAGGACTGCTTGAAGATACTGGAAAGAGTACAGTTAATGATGGAGTAATGTCTTAGGGAGGAAGGGAAGGATGGACTTTAGGGTCCAGGAAGAGTGATTGACATAGAATAGGAAATTGTTTCCCATTGTCTGAGATTAGGTTGAAGATATATTTATGGGGATGAGTCTCCACTGGTCTTGGGAGGTGGCCAGGAGTGAGGAACACCTGCCTCACTTCAGTTCCAGCACTGGGTGAGGACCAATCACTGGAGAGGTAAAAGGAGGAATCTTTGATATTATGGGGGGAAAGATGCTCTTCGCCCACCATGGGTAGGATTTGGGAGAAGTTGTAGCACAGGTGACAACTGAGGAGAAACCCCAGGCAAAACTCATAAAACAAGAGCATGGGGCCTGAAGTAGAGAGGAAAGACTCACTTCATCATATTACTATCTATTTGGTCTGTTGAGGACCATTTCGTGTACTGATTCTAGAATCCAGTGGATTTTCTATTTCTTTAAATTTTTCCTCCCATATATATACATTCTATATAATGCCCAAGACGTGCTAAAAACATTGAACAGGACAGAATTGAGGTGAGAATCTTCTGGCACCTGGGATACTGTCATTTAACCAATTCCAATGTCTTCTAACCTATTCCATTTCTCCATCTGCTCCAGAAGAATATAATTTTGGATGTTATGAAAGACTTTAGCAAAAGACAGCCCCTCTGTCTACTATACTGCCTCCTCCTTTAGTGACTCTGACAAGAAGACAGAACAAGCTGGTGTGACCTACCCTTTCCTTATCTGCCAGGGCCCCCTGGTGGTCACATTTAGTTCTCAGGATACATAAAACACCTTTTTGAATCTCATTTGAGGGTTTTTCCCTAAAGTCATTGTCAAGGTCATTGATCGGTCATTTTTGACATTGATCTGTTTTCCATGTTTGGAAGTCAGAGCTTCACTATCTCCAGCTTTCGAACACCTCTCTGCTTCTCTGTGGTTCCTTGAAGACTGTGGGTTGTGATTGGTAAAATTCTTGGTTAATCTTGGTTTTGGTACTCTGGGATGTCACTCAGTCGGACCAGCCAGTTTGAACACATTTAGAGCAATTAAAGTTTCTCTTATGTTCTGTTTTGGGTTTTGGGCTCCTATTCCCTCTTACCAATGACCATTCTGCCCTTTTCTGGTCAATGCCATCTTTCCTACTGAGAAGCCAGAGTCTTGCAAAGGATTCTGCTCTCCCCCTGCCACCTGGAAGAAGTCACCACTGGCCATGAGCACGGGACCCATCCCTCACTTGTTCTTCTTTTCCCTTTTATCATAACCAGCTTCTCTTGAACCAAAACTAAACTTCTTTACCTTGACCCCTGTAGGGATCCAGACACATTGAGGTTAAGGTCTTGGTATTCCTTATGAATCGAGTGACATGTTCTAATAGAAACTGGGTGAAATAAAGAGGGGGAAGGACACATGCTCACTTTTTTAGTTACAAAGACCCTATTCCAGCCCACTGAATAGGTATAATTGCACTAGTTTATTTTGGCCACTAGATGGCAAAACTGAACAAAAGGAAAAAAAAAAAAGAAAAGAAAAGAAAAAAGAGGTGGGCACTCAAAAAACAAAAGAAACCCAGACAAAGAATGCTGAAAATGCCCCCGAGGAAGCACATTCCCTCTGTTGTTCTAAGTGCTAGTTGACATTTCCATGGTTCTCTGGCCATAAAAGTACAAACAAATCATTTTCTATCCTTGAAATTCTGAAGATGACCTTTCCCTGCAAGTGTATAAAAAGCTACCCCAAGAGTAAGATGCAAAGTGAGCTTGTCTGCCTGCCTCTAACAGGTACCTTCCTTTATTGTGAAGTTTTCAATACTGAGCCACTGAGTCCCAGAGTGGATGAAGAGGGTGACAAGGGTTTACTGATAATATGGTTGGGCTAAAATATGCACCACATCTTGTGAGAAGTGCTGATCCTCAGACCCTTGGAGTCTGAGGATGAGTAGAATTAAGCATCTTAGATTAGATTAGATGATATGATTTGGTGCTTGTGAGACTTGGGTTATAGCAAGAAGGGGACTGAGAAAGGGAAAACATTTAGTCCTTGTTGTATGCTTCTATATAGTTTTGACCCTAAGGATTATTTCTTTCTGCATTCATTCATGATGGATTCATTTCATTCAAGAAATAACCCAGGCACCATATAGGAGATGGGAATAAACAGTAAATAAAGCAGAGTTCCAGAGCTTTCTTTATTTTTTATTTATTTTTTTGTACCAGGGATTGAACTAAGGGGCACTCAACCACTGAACCATATCCCCATCCCTATTCTATGTTTTATTTAGAGACAGGGTATCCTGAGAACTAAAGTTCACTGAGTTGCTTAACACCTCACTTTTTGCTGAGGCTGGCTTTGAACTCGCAATCCTCCTGCCTCAATCTCTGAGCCGCTGTAATTACAGGTATGCATGATCACACCTGGCCTAATTTCATTGTTGGTTTTTTTTTTTTTTTTTTTTAGGAGCAGGATGATCACCCTAGGGAGCACCCATTGCCCACATATGTGGGTATAGATGTGCTCCCACTGACAGCAGAATTACATTAAAAATATTCTTTTGATTATGAAGAATAAGTCAAAATGGCAAAACTTCATGATAACAGCCAGGTCTATTTCTTATACAAAGGAAAAAAATATTGAAGATTTGCTGAAAAAGGAAAAGAAGGCAGCTTAATGGGAACTACTTTACAAAAATGTAAATTACTCACCAGTGATTACCAGGATCATGAGGACCTACTAACATGACTGTCATGTAAGGTGGAACAAATTCATCCTTGTAAAAAGGCAGAGACAGAATTGAGGTGAGAATCTTCTGGCACCTGGGATACTGTCATTTTGGGACGGGGTCAGTGAAGGATGTGCATCAGAGGCAGTGAGTTGGCAGGGTGGAGCTCAAGTTGGTATGGGTGAGGAATAATCGGGAGGCTGTGGAAAGTGTCTCAGTGAAGGGGGATGAGTTGAGAGGAGCGATGGTGGGTGGTGGTAGGAACAGATGGGAGACAGATTTCAGAGTAGGAAGGACCCCTCTTTATAAGGGGAAGAAGAATGTGGAAGGAACACCAGTTCCAGGGGCCTCTTCCCAGGCTAGAGTTCTTTCTTACATATTGCGTTGCTTTGTCATAGAATTGTAACAGGGGTTCACTTGATGCTTTGATGAGATTCTTTGTGGTTTTGAAACTTACATGTTTTTTTTTTTTTTTTCCTTTTTCCCAGGCTTCTTTTCCCTGACCTTCTCCCTGGTCTTCTTTTCCCTGATTTTCTTCTGCCTGATCTCTTCCCTCATTTTCTCTGAATCACCTCTATAAAAACCCCCTGTTCCTGCTAGTGGGAAGAATCACAGCCTTTGAGACAGGAGCCCCCTGTGTGTTTCTCCTTTGCTAGCAAAGCAATAAACTTTTTCCTTTTTTCTCAAAACCATGTCCTCGTTATTGGATTGGCATCAGGAAAAAGGACCTAGCTTTCAGCAACAGAATTAGGATCCCACTTTAGCCCGACTCTTCCCCTTTATAGCAAAAGGAGGAAACTGAAACCTAGGAAATGGAAACCTTAGTCTGTAATCAAACTGCAAGGCAGTGAAGGAGCAAGAGTAGAAGCCAAGTCTCTCCCTTCCCTGATCTGACTCCATCCACAGGTTCACTTCACCACAGGTGGGTGCACATCGAAACCACCTTGGGAGCCTTGCAAAGGCATGAGCTTGGCCTAAACCTGGCCCATACACAGGTCTAGCAAATCTGAATCCTTGGCCTGGGACTACTGGCTCATTCCAGACAGGGTGAGTGTCTCTGAGGACAATTTTCCATGGCACATACTGCACATTCTGCCTGGGTCATATTTTCTCTGTTGCATAATTGCCATTATCTACAACCACCAGTGACTGGAAAGACACTGAGTGCTCACTTGAAGATCCCTTTGCAAACAAACAACATAGTCCTTTCTTTTTTATTTTTATTTTTTTATTTTTTAGTTGTAGTTGGACACAATACCTTTATTTATTTATTTTTATGTGGTGCTGAGGATCGAGCCCAGGGCCTGGAACGTGCTAGGTGAGTGCTCTACTGCTGAGCCACAATCCCAGCCCCTCATAGTCCTTTCTTGTAGGCCCACTTAATAGTGTGCACCATCTAAAGGAGAGGGAGGCCAATGGACAGCTTCTCCCCAGTGAGGGTAGACTAATGGATGGGAACTGCTCAGTAACAGTTTCTAATCTAAGTTCTGTAAAACTGATAATCTCTATGAGCTGGAGTTGTGGCTCAGTGGTAGAGCGCTCGCCTAGCACATGCGAGGGCCTTGGGTTCAATCCTCAGCACCACATAAAAATAAATAAATAAAGCAAAGGTATTGTGTCCAACTACAACTAAAAAATTTTTTTAAAAAAATCTCTTTATGAGTTTATTTTAGTAAAGTATGAAAAAGTAGAACTTTTAAAAATATCAAACACATATGAGCCTGGCACAGTAGCACCACCTATAATTCCAGTGACTCTGGAGGCTAAGACAGGAGAATCTTGAGTTAGAGGCCAACCTCAGCAACTTAGTGAGAGCCTGTCCTAAAATAAAAAATAAAAAGGGCTGGGGATGAAGCTTAGTGGTTGAGAGTCCCTGGATTCAACCCCCAGTGTCAAACAAAACAAAATAACAATACCACCCCCCATACATTTTAGTACAGTTTTCTTAATCACAGTGTTTTTAGGAATATGACCCCCATAGTTAGGGAAGCAATACTTGCCCTTTTAACCATTTTTTTTATTATGAATTAAATTGAATTTTTCATGATCATTGTAAATTGGTTATGTTCTATTATGAATTGAAATGTCCACGCCTCACATGTATAAAATAAAGCTCTGGAGTGCTTGCTATATGCTAGTTACTATTCTACCAGCTCGGCATGTAGCAATTCAGTTAATCCTAACCCACTTTGAGGCCAAGGGTAATTATCAGTCTCATTGTATGGAGGAAATAGGATCATGGGGAGGTCAAGTAACTTGTCCAAGGTCTTACCTGGAAAGTCTGGATTCACTGCCCGTGCTGCCAACATTTTCCTCGTTTATTTGTGTTTCATTTTTTTCTATTAGGTATAAAAATTAAAACTTTTGTGGTCAGATTTATCAGTCTATTCCTTTGTTTTGTTGGCCCATTTTCTTCTTTTAGCCAACTTAGAACGTTTTCTCTTTTTCAGAGATTAAAAAATATTTGGATTTTTTGGGGGTGTATTACATAAGAGGAGGATTTACATATATATGTATTTCCCAAAATAATCATTTCTCCTGAATCACTTGCTGAATTATATTTTTCTGATGCAGGATTTAACAAGAATGCCTTTGTGCCTAAATTTTAGGCTTGTCTACTTTTTTTTTAATATATTTTTTTAGTTGTAGGTGGATACAATGCCTCTATTTTTATGTGGTGCTGAGGATGGAACCTGATGCCTCACCGGTGTTAGGAGAGCGTTCTACCATTGAGCCACAACCTCAGCCCTAGGCTTGCTAACTGTTAGTTATTTATATGGAGGATTGAACCCATATATGTGTGTCTATTTTGCTATAAAAACACTGTGATTAAGAAAACTGTACTAAAATGTATGGGGGGTGGTATTGTTATTTTGTTTTGTTTGACACTTGGGGTTGAATCCAGGGACTCTCAACCATTGAGCCACATCCCCAGCCCATTTTTTTTACTTTGACACAGGATTCTAGATTTTTTTTTCTCTCTATTGTCTTATTTCTCCCTGTCTACTAACTATGCAATTGTCTTATCCAGGGGTAGGTGTCCAGTGTGAGATCTTAGGTGGCAGCCAGGGCTTTTGCCCTGGGATTATTGTGGGGATGACTCAGTTACAGCCCCAGGCCCTGAGAGGCTGAGTGAAATCCAGGTGTAGGCCCTTTGGGTATGTGCAGGCCTCTCTAGACCACCTTCCCAGGCAAAGTTAGTAATCACTTATTTTATTCAGCCATCTCCCTTGAAGAGGTAGAGGGGTAAGGAAAAGGTGATTCCCAGCCCCTGATTTTTGAGTAGTGAACATGATGCTGGTCCTGGATCTCATTGGGCAATATATTTCTTTCTTATTGTCAGGACTTGAACTCCCAGTTGCCCTTGGCTGGATCCAAAGTCCAGATACAGCTTTAACCCTGATCATGTTCTCCATTCATATTCCATTCCTGTGAATATTTTTTAGGGATATTTCTTCTTTGTTAAGTGTGGCTTTTTCGTTTTTTTCTAATATTGTGTCTATCATTGCTCTATATTGGAAGCTCCTAGGCTATCAATGCTGTTTCACTTGTGTATCTATTTTGCTATAACCATTAATTATTGTAGCTTACATTGTGTATTCTGGGACTACTCTAATGATTTTCTCTAATCACTTTCTCAAAGCTGGATCAGGCAGGAGAAAGCTCTATAGAAGTTACTGAAGTTGAGAACTGAAGAAGTGGTATAATGCTCCCTTCCACCGCCCACCACAGGTCATGTGAGAGGAGCCCCGGGGTGGCAGCACTAGGAGGGGATTCTGCTTCGAAGCTTCATGCCAATCTATCATCATGAACTCTCAAGCCAAGGTAGATCCAGCACCTGGAAGTGACCTGGTTTTTGGATGAATGTCTAGAAGTTATATGTGTGATAGACTCCTCTCCCTCAGAAAACAATGGTGCACTGGAAAACCAGCATGCATCCAAGGCAATGTGTAGTTATGTTTCTAGAGTAAACTGTCCAATGTCCACTTTGATCCTGTCAACAGTTGCTTCTAGATGAAGGCAGGGCACATGCATGGTCCCAGCTGACTCCCTTCTGCTGAACTAGGCTGTTTCTCAGTGGCACAGGCAAGGTACTATAGACAGGAACTGCATATGAAGCAGGATCTCCTTTAAAATACACAGTAGTCATCTTTTATCCATTGGGGAAGACATTCCAGGATCCAGTGGACCTCTGAAGGGTAACAAATGCTCTATATATTTGTGTTTTGTATACTGTACATATATACCTGTTATGAAATTTATTAGTTAAGCACAATAAAAAATAATAAAACAATTTTAACAACATACTGTAATAAAAGATACTTAAAACTTACAGATTTTTTTATTTCTGGGATTTTCTACTTAGTATTTTTGTGCTGTGGTTGACCATGGGTAACTGAAAATGTGAAATCAAAACTGGAGAAATGGGGCACCTACTGTAAACAGAGCAAAGCCCTGTCCTGGGAGGCCTCCTTCTTCCTGGCTGTGAATTCAGGAGCATGAACAACAGCGTCCACCCTCACCCTGTGGCCCTGGCTCCCCTTTGCCAGGGGTGGGGCCTGTGGTCAACCCAGTGGGGTTGAGAAGCAGTGTTCTCTACCACCAGACATACTGGGCAACCCGCTCAGCCAGACTGTCTCCTGGGTGTCTGTGAAAGTTTGTCCCAGAAACCAGTTCTTCCTGGAACTGGGTGTCATTTCAGGACAGAGAATGCCAGGAGTGTAACTTGGCCCTGAAGTAAAGGATAGCCTTCCAATCTTGCATGAGATAGCAGATTGCTTGGGTTTTGGCTTGAGCTGGGGCTGGTAGTTCCTGGGGAAATTCAGGCAGCTCCACCAGGGGGAGCCTTTTCCATATCTTGGATTTATGGGGCTCCACTCAGCTTCTGAGTATGAGTGTGTGTGGTGTGCACATCTCAGTTTTTCTGTGATTACAGTACAGAAGCATGACTCAACTTTCCTAATTGATATATTCAACTTAATTTGCTGCCATGGCTTGGGTTCTATCATGCTTCAGATTTACTTGTGACTGTGGTTATATGTAACATTGCAGCCACCCACAACAATGTGGGGTGGGGAGAAATGAGAGTGATAAACTTTCACTCCCCAAATGTCACTCAGTCGGTTTCATCTCATAACCAGGCCATGAGCTCATCCTGAAGTTGAGAGACCCATACAGTGGAGGAGGGGGGCATGGGAGGTGGATTGTGAGTGCTTGATGTCCGGATTAACTCCATTGCCCTCCAGTAGGATGGGAGAACTCAGACCAGCCATTAATTCCACATCCTGCTCTTGCCAGGTGCCCTAGAAATGTAGGTAACTCTGCCTGTGATGTATGGTTCTGGGCCTGCTCCGGGAAGATATGGTCTGGCTGAGCAGAGGGTGGCCACATATGAGGATGGAAGGAGCTGATCCAGGTATAGAAGGGCAGGGGAGGAAGTTCAGGGGAAGAGGGCACCATGAGGACTGCAGAGAGGCTGAGCAGAGTGAGGCAGGGTGCAGCGCCATGACAGTCTCATGCATCACCTTTTTCACTGGTTCCCTTAAAATGTGCCCCTCGAACAGCCTCTGCCACCCCTACCTGGGTCTCAGTGCTGGGGGTGATGGTGTTAGAAGAAATCAAGACTGAGGAAATTTCAGGATGGTGGGGCTGAGAATTCCCTGGTGCAGGTTGAGAAAATGCTAAGCTTTTCTAGAAAAAGTACAGTGTTCAACATAGTGCTGCTCACGTTGAGATGGTACAAGAGATGGGATCTTCTGTGGCACTTGTAGAGAGCAGAAGAGATAACAAGTTCTCTGGGCATTCTTTTTTTTTTTTTTTTGGTACTGGGGATTGAACCCAGGGGTTCTTAGCCTCTGAGCAACATTCCCAGCCCTTTTTATTTTTTATTTTAGGATAAGGTCTTGTTAAGTTGCTTAGGGCCTTGATAAGTTTCTAAGGCTGGCCTTGAACTTGCAATCCTACCTCATCCTCTTTAGTTGCTGGGATAATTGGTAATGTGTCACTGTGCCCAGCCTAGCTCTCAATCTTATGGGTTTAACAGCAATACCAGAAAATTAGGAGTTAAAAAGTGAGCCAGTCTTCAAGGCTGTAAACTAAGATAACATGCCAAGAGGTGGGAGGCTGAGAAATCAGCTCAGCCTTTTGAGACTATGTGGTCAGCAGAAATGCCAAGAAGTAGTGGCAGACAGGACAAGGTCACTAAAATCAGACCCACTGAGACAGGACAATAGTCTGCTCTGTTCTGAAAATAGCATTAGAGACTTTCCTGGATTATAAGGGGCAGGTTCCTGGTGGAGAGGGGCAAACACAGGTGTAGAACACACCATGTTATCGTTTGGCCATGAAGTGTCCCCCAAAGACTTGATTCCTAAGGCAGCCATGTTCAGAAATGGGGGCTTTTAGGAGATGGTTGAATTGTGAGAGCTGTAACCTCATCAGTGGATTAATCCATTTGATGGATTAAAATTTAAAAGGCTTATTGAGTCATAATGGAAACTGGAAGAGGTGTGGCCTAGTTGAAGAACATAGGTCACTGGGGTCAAGCTCTGAAAGGGTATTTCTTGTCCCCAGCCCAGTCTACTCTCTCTGCTTTCTGACTGCCATGACCTGGGCACCTTTCTGCCACCACACCCTTCTGCCCTGACGTTCTGCCTCATTCAGGCCCAGAACAATGGAGCCAGCTGACCACGAACTGAAACCATGAGCCAAAGTCAATCTTTCCTCCTTTAAATTGTTTATGTCAAATATTTTAGTTACAGTGACGAAAAGCTGAATAATGCACACCCCAAGGTGGAGACTTGAGATGGGAATGAGATGTGTATTGTGTAAAGAGATGTGACGAAGAAGAGAGCAGTGCAACTAAAATTCCCATCTCCATGTGACCACATCAAGAGATGGAGTCCCTGCTGGTCCTGTAGTTGCTAGAAAAGATGTACACCTTAGCAGGGCATGGTGGCACATGCCTGTAATCCCAGTGACTTGGGAGGTTGAGGCAAGAGGATCACAAGTTCAAAGCTAGCTTCAGTAATTTAGCAAGGCCCTAAGCAACTTAGCAAGACTCTGTCTCAAAATAAAACACAAAAAGGGCCAGGAATGTGGCTTAGTGGTTAAGCCCCGCTGGGTTCAATCCCCAGTATCAAAAAAAAAACAACAACAAAAAAGTATTCCTTCGTCCTTTGAGCCAGCCTGACCCTCTCCATTGGTGCTGTGTCTTCCTTCTGGTTCAAGCTAGTCCCCCTACCCACTGCCATGAAGCCTTGACTATGCTTAAATTCTTTCTGGGTTCAGTTTTGTTTCTAATGTCTGGACCCAAGGATCTGAGTCTAGTAACAACAATGTAGAGACCTAAAGACCAAAGGACCCATGGGATCCATGTATAGAGCTGACACCTCCTCCTCTACATCTAGATTCAACTTGGTCAGGAATAAAGGTGACAAGGAGAACCCTCAAACACTGGGCACTTACTAGAGAGACTCTTTTAGATAGAAAAGAATGTTTAAAAGTTATTCGAAAGGCTGTGATTGTAGCTCAGTGGTGAGCGCTTGCTTAGCATGTGTGAAGCACTGGATGTGATCCTCAGCACCACATAAAAATAAATAAATAAAGGGATTGGGTCCATCCAGAACTCTAAAATTTTTTTTAAAACTTCGAGGGCTGGGGATGTAGCTCAGTGGTAGAGTACTTGCCTGCCACTTGCACAGGGGGGTTCAGTCATTCCCCAATACCATTAAAAAAAAGGCTGAAATACCTATAATTAATAGGTATTATTACTATTGCCACCCCAGCAGCAGTAGGGATGAGAAGACTTGAAAACTAAAGATCTCCCTTTTTTATTTCCTCAGAGTCTAGTGTTTTAAGTTTCAACTCTACTATAAAGACCTTTGTGCCGAGGTTGCTGGGATAAAGAATTCTGGAAGATCTCCCCATGCTCATGACTGAATTGAGTTTGACTCCACAGCATGTCACAATTCTTGATTTTTCCAAGTCATCTCTGTTTAGTATCCATCCGCCACATGGGCAGGATATGTAACCGCAGTTTTGTTGGCAGCCTTAGACAGCCTCCAGTCGTCTCAGACATAAAATTGAGAGAAAAGAAGCTAGATGCACAAAAACTCATGTTACATATTTTTCCTTCCTTCCTTCCTTCCCTCCCTCCCTCCCTCTCTCTCTTTCTTTTGTACCAGGGATTGAACCCAGGGGCACTTAACCATTGAGCCACTTCCCCAGGCTTTTTTATTTTTAGATAGGGTCTTGCTAAATGTCCTTAATAATTTTGCTGAGGCTGGCCTCGAACTTGCAATCTTCCTGCCTCAGTCTCCAGAGTTGCTGGGATTACAGATGTGTGCCACTATGATTTGTTTTTATGAAGCTCAAGTTCAGAAAAAAAACTGTAGAATTTACATCTTTGAAAAATAAAATACAGAATGGATTGAGGGTGGTGGTAAAGGTCTTATATTATCTCAGCACCCACCATACTCTGTGCCCTCAACAATAGTTCTCTGCTCTTGTCTCTTGGGGGTGATGGTGATGGTGTGGAATTTAAATTATGGATGTTCTGCTCTTTCTGTGACACCTTCCTTGAGTCAAAATTCTTTTCAATCACCATTCTATAGCTTCTTGAATTGTTCTCATGCAGTTTTCAGTTTCTGCAAAAACTGAAATGGAATAGACGATATGATTTTTACAATGTGATAAGATGGTTAACTTTATACATCAACCTGTGTGACAGGTTGCCCAGATTAATGTTAATTCTGAGTATGTCTCTGAGGATGTTTCTAGATGAGATTAGCATTTGAATCTGTATATTTAGTAGACTGCACCCCAATGTTGGTGGTCATTATCTAATCTGTGTGAGGGTCTGAACAGGATAAAATGTCAGAGGAAGAAGAATCCCCTTTTCTTATCGCCTGCTTGGGCTGGAACATCCATCTTCTCCCACCCTTGGACTAAGACTTGCACTGTTAGCTCCCCTGGTTCTTTCTTAGGCCTTTGGATTTAGACAGTTCAGCCTTCCTGGGTCTCCAGCTTGTAGGTGGAAGATTGTGGGACTTTCCAGCTTCCACGTTTGTATAAGCCTATTCCTTTCCTCATTCTATCCATCCATCCATTCCTATTGGTTCAGTTTCTCTAGAGAATCCTGATTAAAACATGGTACTGGTTTGGATAAGTGTTCCCCAAAAGCCTGTGCTAAAGGTTTGGTCTTGAGGGTAGTACTATTGGGAGGTGATGGAAACTTTGAGAGGTGTGGCCTAGTGGGAAGTCCTCAGGTCACAGAGGTGTGCCCTTGAAGGGTACT